GCTACTTTGTGCCATCTCGTGGTCGTCCGGATGGTTGTAGCCTTGATTTGGTTACCCCCCCCCCCTTAACCCTGTCTCTTTCGTAATATGGCCTCGCTGTCCTCTTTTGTAAATGTCAACGGAGATTCTCAGTCATCTAGGTCATGGTTGTCCCCAAAAGCGCTTCCCCCACCCCAAGAAGCAACTGGACTTTCTGGTTTTTTTCTTTGAAGACGTTTCGCTTCTCATCCAAGAAGCTTCTTCAGCTGTGGCTGGATTCCTTCCATTCCCCACCATCCAACCAGAGCTAAAGAAACTTCTTGGATGAGAAACGAAACGTCTTCAAAGAAAAACCAGAAAGCCCAGCTGCCACTTAAAAAAAAGCACTTTTGGGACCCTCTTTCGTCGTTTCGGCGGACTACAAAATACATAAAAGGAGGGGGGGAAATAGACTATTGCGCATGCGCCAACTACCTCGAGGCAGCGGGCTTTTTCTCCAGTGTCTCCGTCAAGCCGAGAGCCCTTCTCCTACCACCGACCTCATTTCTCCTCCCCTCTCTTTCCACCTATCACTGAACTACAAGTGGGTCACATGCCTCCGCGATCACGTGGGACGAGGTTCCATTTTGTGGCGTAGTTAACGCTCAACCTACCCAGTCGAGGCGAGGACATCGTCGGGGGCGGTTGGCAGCTCGTCTTTGTCCGTTGACACTTGAACTTGGGGGAAAAAAAACCGAGAACAAGACGATCGTAAGTGCCTACCTATTCAAATTTAATAGGCGATGTAAAAGAGCAGGGGCGGGGGCGAGAGAGAGACGGTTGCATTGTATAAGTATGATTAAGTGGGAGAGAAGCTTTAAACGTACTTTAAACCGTCTACGGTGTGTGTGTGTGTGAGCGATTACATTTCCTCTTAACAGAAAAAGCCAGGAGAGGTAACATTGGCCTGGAACATTGGGGTGCGGCCGCGCCGCCATTTCGTGAAAGCAATCAAAAGGGCTAGGATTGATGGGCGGTCGTGTGCAAGGCGCATGCGCAGCTCTCCGTAACTTCGCGTTGGCTGCTTAGGCTGCCTGGAGAAAAGGCGGAACCGAGCTGGCGTTTTCCAGTTGGACGATGGGAGGCGGAACTCGGTGGCTGGTTGGAACGAGCGGCGGGGCGGGGCGGGGCGATGGGCCCTGCGAGGGTGCTGCCTTCCCTGATGTCAGACTGCGGCAACCGAGGGCGGAGGAGGTACTGCGGCATGAATAGAGCTGGCGGGGCCAGCTGCTGCTGCTGCTGCTCCTCCTTTTGAGCGGCGGCGGCCATCTTTTTTTTTTTTTAAGACTCGGTTTACCGACTTGAATTTTTACGTTAATTTTTTTTCTTTTAATTTTTTTCTCCAGCTACTCGAAAACGGTACCATGAGTGGTTGTCGCGTATTCATTGGAAGGCTAAATCCAGCGGCCAGAGAGAAGGACGTAGAGAGATTCTTCAAGGGATATGGACGCATCCGAGACATTGATTTGAAGAGAGGTTTTGGATTTGTGGTAAGCGGTTAAAAAAAATGCTTCGTACAAGCGGCACTTTGTAACGATGAAATTGATTACTTCCTATGGGAAGAAAGAACTATGGTGGTTTTGGTAGCCACTTCAGACCCATCGGTCTTTTAAATATGTAGGAATGCATACTTTCCAGCGGCAATACACTTTGTAATATGCAGAACTGATCGTAAGTTAAAAAAAAGTTAAAATGCAGTCTTTAATGATTTCCTTCACAAAGGGAGCTGAAATTTGGAATAAATTCAATGCACCAAAACACAAATAAAGTGGCTGCTGTTACTTGCCATTAAGAAACTTGAAACTAACCAGAGATGCCGGTCAATAAATCACTGATGCATTATTTTGTTATTTAACAGGAGTTTGAAGATCCCAGAGATGCTGATGATGCAGTCTATGAACTGGATGGAAAAGAACTCTGCAGTGAAAGGTAACATTTCATAACCCTTTGTTTGCATTTGGCTGCTTTGTACATGTTTTATGGTATGCTTGACAATAGTAGTGCCCAAACACATAGTTTGCAAATATATTGGACTTAAGTATGTTCAGGTTGACCTATTTGTCTGAAAGAGGAAGGAGTCATAATTCGTGTTCTCATATTAATGTGGCATAGATGGAATGGACTTGTATTTTAAATAGGTGTTACTATTTTGCTTTCAAGAGTTACAATTGAACATGCTAGAGCCCGCTCAAGAGGTGGAAGAGGCAGAGGGCGTTATTCTGACCGTTTTAGCAGCCGCCGTCCACGAAATGACAGAAGGTAAATACTATGCAAAGAACATAGGTGATGCTCAGTTTAACTTTCTGTAGACATAACTAATGAACTGAACATTTTGTTTTTGCTAGAAATGCACCACCTGTAAGAACAGAAAATCGTCTCATTGTAGAAAATTTGTCTTCTCGGGTCAGCTGGCAGGTTTGTTAAACATGATTATCTTAGACTTCATTTAATGGGTATGTAATATGTAAATTTTTTAATTAAAAACTATTTTTTATCTTAAATTTAAAACATTTATCAAAATTATTAATTAATGTTTAAATGCATTGTTCAAAAGTAGTTTAATAGTATTTTAATGTAATTTTACCTTGTTTTAAAAATCCATTTTAACCACTTTAAAAATCCATTTTATTTGCCAGCCTATCTGTGTCGTTGGCCTTATGACGAGGAGTGCCTGTGGGTTATCCTAATCGTTCTGTCTTGGTCACTCTTGGTTGGGCCTGGTTGACTTTTCCAGTCAGCTCCTCCAGTGTATCAGTTGGCCACCTCTAGATCTGTGTTTGCCGGTCTAGACGTAATCGGTGCACTTCCTTAGAGTGCCGGGTTGCAGCGATCCCCGAAAGTTAACGAGATCTGATTCCTAAGTTGAGAACTGTACCTCCTCTAACGCTTCGAAATAAGAGATCGTGATCGAGAGTTGAAAAGATACGAATTAGGTGGTCCTTGGAATCCTGATCGCAGTAAAGTGATCCTTGGTGTAACTTCACAAGAGTAGAGAATGTCTGGATCCGACAGTAGTCTACTAATAGGGAGGGCTGTGCGATTAAAGGCTTCCATCGACTGGGTAGTTCTCTTCAAATGTTGACGAAGAGCCAGTCGGGCATGTACCGTGGTGGTATCTTCGATCGCTTAATGCAGTTTGCTGCTTGGCTAGCCTAGGGAAATGTTAATAAAGGTAAAGTAAACTATATTTTTAATGACATATGGGGCACAAAATAACTGGTTTTTGTTTTGTAAATGTGCTGTTTAGTTGTAAGACATTTCAGAATGCTTTCATACAAGTAAATTGTCTTGCATTCAGTTGTGTAAAATGTATAGACAAATAATTATGATTTGAGCATTTTGCTTAAAGCAATATGCTGTTTTCATTTATTTCGTGCCCTGATATATTGTATCAAATATGGAATTATCTACAAGTGTGGCATTTGCCACGTTTTAATTGTTAACATCTTTTTTTGCAGTAGTAATTTTTATTAATTTATAAATGTTGTCTACCTCCTTTATCTAACATGTTTAATCTTGTGATAGGATCTCAAAGACTTCATGAGACAAGCTGGGGAAGTAACATTTGCAGATGCACACAGGCCCAAACTAAATGAAGGGTAAGTATTTGGAACCATTGTAAGATATTGCAAAAGATAACTTGGGAGAAGGAATCTTTGGGGAAGTTTAAGCTTTGATAGTTTAATTATATAAGCTGTATTTCTTTTCTTTTTTTAATTAGGGTGGTTGAGTTTGCCTCTTATAGTGATCTAAAGAATGCCATTGAAAAACTTTCTGGCAAGGAAATCAATGGAAGGAAAATCAAACTAATTGAGGGCAGCAAAAGGCACAGGTAAGAACTCAGCTAAGATATGCTTGTGTATACACAGTTGTGGTCAGTATAAACCTAACCTAACATGGATATTTACCTTTCTTAGTAGGTCTAGAAGCAGGTCTCGCTCCCGTAGCAGGAGCTCTTCAAGATCCCGTAGCCGTTCTCGATCGAGAAGCCGCAAGTCTTACACCAGATCCAGGAGCAGGAGCCGTAGCAAATCAAAATCACTTAGTCGGTCTCCTGCCCCTGAAAAGAGTCAGAAACGTGCTTCCTCCAGTAGATCAAAGTCTCCTGCTTCTGTTGATCGCCAGAGATCACGCTCAAGGTCAAGATCTGTAGATAGTGGCAACTGAATTGTGCAGGTTGCCTTGGAACTTTTAAAACCATACTTGCTAATAGTTGTGGTAAGTATGTGACTTTGGGGAGAGAGGGACTCTGAACCAGGGGAGGGGAGGGTTGTAACAACTTTGTAAATGTGGACCATCAGAAAGTTACTGAACTAATTGTATTCTCTTTTTGATAATCTTTTTCTTGCTCACTTCATTAAATCAGAAGTGTGTAGCTTTATGTATATTGCTAGAGTTCTTTGAAGAAACTAATTTTTTTGTATTTAAAAAAAACTTTCTCAGTATACTCTAGAAATTGAAATTTGGGATGTTAAATGTTTTAAATTGGTTAATTGAGCTTTACACCAGCTGTAAATAAAGCTTTATTTCCGGTTTTGGGAATGATTCCCAAGTATTTGTTTGCTGCCTTGGCCATATTTCCAAATATACTGGTCAAAATTCACAATAAACCTTTTTTAAAAAAAAATAATCTGTGTTTTTCTTTCAAAGCTGTGGGAGAGCTGCATTTTTATATGGGTTTGCACTTAGATGTTATCTTATCTTTCAGAAATAGGGTTATAAAACAGATAATTGGAAAGCTGTACCTGACCTTGGTCATGGTATCATAACTTACATGCTGCATTTCCCCGAATGTTCCTCACCTGTGATATATTTTGTAGCATATTCTACTGTAATGCATTTAGAATTTCTACTTAATTTTTGATACTTGGAGCAATTGAATAGTACTTTGCAGGTAATGAAAGGTTCATGAAGTAATGGTATAAAATTGTCAACATATACCTGTAACTGAGATGCCATCTTTGCTTACTACAGCCAGCCCTGAGTGAGGATAAGGAATATTTAGGTAAATGATACTTTAGTCTAACTATACACGACTTCGCAACTAACAACAACAACAAAATAATTGCACTGAATAATTGGAAATGACAATAGAACTGTCAATAGCTAGGATAAAAAGCTGTTTAGGTAATTTTAAGTGGTCTGTTGTGAAATGAAGATAACATTTCAGTTGATCCAAATGGCTCGGTTGTAGGAGTAGTGATAGACCAACAATTTAATACTGCAGTTTAATATGTCAGCAGTTTGCTAACCTAGATTCTGGTTAAACGTGTTCTATGAATATAGATCCATTGAGAAATACAGCACTTGTGCCAAGCTTTTTCAAGACTGATACTCATGTAATAAGGTAGTTGGCCAAGCTTGTACTAAATGCAAATATTTTACAGGGTTCAAAAGTAGTATACCATGACCATATTCTATATTCCAAACTAGTTTTTCATATTGGAAGTCCCCCTCACCCCAATAGTCAAAGCCCACCTTT